CACACACACACACACACAATTAGGAAGTGTAACACTATCCAATTTCACATGCAAACATGCAAACAGAGAATGAATGCAGTTATTTAAAACCCTTTATTTTAAATTGACTATAGACCTACCAATCTGGCTGGTGGCCACAATATTTTTATATTTTGGGTGTTGGTTGACTGTTAGGCAGAGGATGTCGTCTGTATGTTCCAGGTAGAAAGTTTGACTTCCTATGCAGTTCCAAACAAAAAAAGTATTTATTTTTCAGTATCCCATAAACAGAAACTATAGAAGCAGTACATTTTCAGATGAGCCTATTTCACAAAACAAATGCATTTAAGAGTGTTAATAATTAGCCCCATTTGTACAAAATAGCTGAAATGTAATGTAAAGACAGTGTTAGACTCTTAAAATAAACAAGTGCTTAAGGTTTTGCTAATCATCTGCTCATGCCAAACTCCAATATGCTCCCATTATTTGCTTAACAATTCAATTCCAAAGAGCGACTGTGCTATATATTCAGAAGAGGATCTCAGGCAAGCAACTGCCTCTACCTGGGTGATCACCTTGATAAATATTGCCATTAAGATGTGACAGTTCTAAACTATGATGAATCAATAATGTCACCCAATGGGATAGGAGATGAAAAGGGATGGATGGATGGATGGTCTGTCTTGATTTTTATTCTGATCCCCATAATTGATGCCTGGTGCTTGCAGGCCACTCTGCTCACTTCCATTACAGATTCATAGCCAATGCTGAAGAAAACAGTGAAGAGTATTTTTACAAGTGCTTCACATGTCCAAGTTTTCATCTGGAGCCCTTGGCTGCTAGCACCTAACTCGTTGGTTTTTCCAACCAGGACAATTGGCAAAAATAGTTATTATTTTAATTACCTGTTGAGAGATTTTGAACTATGCATGCTGCAGCAGTATGGAAAATAATATCAGCACCATCATTGAGGTAATGAAGGTTATTGCGACAATCAAATCCACGATATCCAAAGACATGATCTAAACACAGTTCCTACAAAGAAAGAAAGAAAGAAAGAAAGAAAGAAAGAAAGAAAGAAAGAAAGAAAGAAAGAAAGAAAGAAAGAAAGAAAGAAAGAAAGAAAGAAAGAAAGAAAGTGAACTGTTACAGACACATTTAAGTGTACCCATTTTTGAAGAGGAGGCTTCCCAAACCATCACACAATAAAAAAAGTTAAGTCTGAATGAATTCTAAATAGTTTTGATGCAGCAAATATATTCAAAAGTGTAGAATGCGAAAATGATAAATTGAATCAATGAACAAAGAAAGACAAAGGCTATATTAAAAGATTCAGGTTAAAGATATAAAGTTTCAAAACATAAATTTTAAATATTCTCTCAGAAAACATATTTTTATCACAATACAGGCAGTATAATATCAGAAAAAATGGACTGCTAGATGTCAGTACTTCACTGATTTACAACAGAACTTAACTCTTCTGAAAATAAATTGATACTTGGTTGTTTCATCTTGGTTACTTCTCATATTTACTGTATATACCTATACTTAGTCCTGTATACCAGGCAACACAATTATTAATAGTCTATGTCAATTAACAGATTTTGGTAGCTTATTAACATGCCAACATGCATTAAAACTGGTGCTTGGAAAAGACTGGAGCAAAATTTATTAACCCAGATTAGAAGGAATATTAAAATAGCAAAGTATTAAACCTGACCTCAACTAGTTTCCTTTTTTTGTTGACATTGTTCTTTTGCAGTTTCTCAGGTTGAGGAGCAGCTCTGCTAACTGGTGGCCTGAAAAAATAAAATAATGAAGATCAGCCCCTGGGAAATGGAAAGCAATGCCTTCTATGGACCCTTCCTTATTTCTGAGTTGAAGTGCTACCCATTCATCCTTGAGTCTGCTGGAAAATGTCCCAGCATGAAATATGTCCCCAGCATGTCCTATCTGCTGTCTCCTAACCTGCCTTTATTAATTCTGTTTCCAGTTATTGTAGTTAACTGATTGCTTGGAATGACAAATTTAAATGGAGGATGCCTTCAGATTGTGTTCGCATAATGAGGAAAACACCTCAGTGCCACTAAGAATGACTTAAACCCGTTTCGCTCATGGATTGGGAATGAGATGAGGTCATGGGGACACAACAGAAAAAGAATGCTATCACTTCACTGTGGTCGTGTTAAGTGTAAGTGGGGAACATTCCTAAATGACAGTTGGGGAATATAAGCAAGCTACATCCTTGGTAGTGTGAGCATTTGTGTCTGTATTGTTGCTATTGTCAAGTGTTTAGGGCAATGACAGGACCATTGAATCTGAAATGAACTTGTGGATAATTAAGCTACTCCAAATAGTCCTTTGTTTCTGTATACTTTGTTAATCGCATATAAATAATAATAATAATAATAATAATAATATTTCAACTTTGCTTTAAAAAAAGAGATTTCTGGTCATCTATATATTTCCCATATAGCTCTTCTGCTGTTTCAAATATCAAATCCTAACTTTGGAAGTTCCTTTTCAGGGGTGCATGAGGCTGTGATGTGAAATGTATGTGTGTGTGTGTGTGTGTGCAGGAAATAAAAAGGCTCTATTTCAGAGCCCTGTGCATGGTCCTCTTGCAAATCCAGACTTTTTCCCCCTATGGACAATGTATCTTAGAGTATGAATCTGGGTTTTCCTTCATGCCAAAAATGGACTTTACTTATGATCACTCTGTTAGAAAGTAATATAAGTGAAGTTTTCCCATTCATATAAGTATCTTTCTAGCTTTGTGTATAAGTATGAAATTATATTTTAATAATTCTGAGGATTGCAGGTGAGATCATAGATGCCTTTCCTATTATCTGAATTTCCACTGAAGCCTTTGAGGGATTCTCTATGGATCTAGTCCTAAGTTTCAAAGTCATTGTTACCACCACCTGATTATGAAATTAAGACCGTGAAGATGCCGATTAAGGATAGTAGGTCACTTATATTATCTTCCACAGTAATCCAACCACCACTCTGCTACTGTAACCGTAAAGAAGATGGGCTTCGTATCACTCCAACAGTGGCTGGATGAAGCTAGAAGACATTAGAAGTCTGTCCTTGGCTACTCAGAAGCAAGTGGCTTTTACTTCAGAGTAAATTTAGTATTCAGTTCAACAAAGACATTTTTTTTACCTTGCTCTGATCCATTCCAGTTTAAAAACAATCTTTAAAAATACAGTGCAGGGGAGGAAAAAGTTAAAGGGCCTTTAATGAAATCACAAACTCTTCTCTTGTCCTGTAGCCTTATATAGTAACTAAGGGGGGTGATGCACAAAGGAAGTAGGCCATGTCCCTTCTGCCCCCAATACTGTGATTTGAGCACTAATACTGGATCAGACAGGAAGCTCATCTAGCTGAAGATTTTGGTTTCATCAACAGGGATTCACTCCCAGCATCTAATAGTATATAAAATATATTATTGAACTTCTAGTGGTGGAAAATTCTGTGGTGGAATAGGTGAGGGAAAAGGTACATGTCTAGGTGTACCTGGTTTCAGCTGTAAAAATACAGACAGCCAGGAGATGGAAGCATGAAGATACAAAAATACACTCTTTCCTGAAACCTAGCGGTTGCCTGGATTTTTGTACCCAGATCTAGTAATCCTAATTATGACCAAATCACACCAACTGGTTCAGCTTTTTCAAAAGTAATACTATTAGTAGTAATAATATTAATTTTATTTATTTTTATTTTCAAATTTGTATGCCGCCCATCTCCCCCAATGGGTGACTCTAATTAATATTTCATGTATAATATATTACTAATATCTATTCGGAATATTTAATTCTTTATCTTGATGTTGATAAATGGTAATTACTATTAGCAAGAGTACCAGTAGGGGCAAATCACAAATTATAACAAACAGAAATATCAGCATTGTTTCAGAAGTAATTCAAATAATAAATATACCTATCCATTCGACCATAAAATTAACCATAAAAGCATAAGCTACGTGGTTAGCTTTAATTTAAACGTGTTCCATGGAAAAGAGAGATTGTGGATTCTTTTAAAAGATGAATTCCCAATCTATCTGTGACTGTTAAATTTTGTTACTCAGTTATTCAAGCTATTTTATAAATTATAAACTACCTTACAGAAAGAAATTGGTATTATACATATAATTAAAATATTTTAATATCCTATGATATTAAAGCCAAATTCTAAGGGATTCTTAATGAGCAGCAAAACCCATTTCATGATAAATGTCTCATATATTAGTTACACTGATTATTACAAATAGGAATAACCATATCAGAATTGCTAAAATCCAGACAAGTTATGAATTATTCTGTGTCCCTTTGCTGCCATTTGAGTTGTCCAGATTTTTGCATCTGAAGTCTGGCAGCTGTCATATGCATGGCTAGGTAAAAGTCATAGCTATACATCTTCATTATTATCTCTAGAGGATGTATAACTATGACTTTTAACAACAACAACAACTGTTTAGTAACAAACTTGGATATAGAAGTTAGTTTTGAAAATACAATTCATTGTAAAAGTTGTTTTTATGTTGTTTAACTATTAAAAGCTGTAACAAGATTATATTGAAAATAATAGCAAACCAAGCAATTACAGCTGAAGCAAGATAAACATATTCACTTTAAGCATTAGCAAAGTACTTCAACACTGAAAGAATTACCTTGATCCCCTTGAAAGCAGCAAATAAAGCCAAGTAAGAAACTTAGTATAGGTCAGAAAAACAGAATGAGACCATTAGAGTAATTCATGCACAAGCTTCTTTTGAAATGTTTATTCCTTGTGACACACAGCCATGCTATTGAAGCATGCCAGCAAAAACTAAAACAGAAATTAAAAGAATGCACCAATCCATAAACTCAGAAAGGTCATACCCTGACATCTTGGGGCAAAGTCTGCACTAAGGATCCAGTAGGGCAGGGAGAAGGAAAAGAAAAAGAAAAAGAAAAAGAAAAAAAGAAAAAGAAAAAGAAAGGAAGGAAGCTTTATCAATGCTTCCCACATACTTCCAGTATATTGCATAAATAATGAAGTTTATATAAACGATTCCAAACAACATATCAATATTTTGCTTTCTATTCTAAAGCCATTTCACAATTAGACAGAGGGAAACCTAAATGGACCCTGGGCAAGGTAATGAAGCAAATCACAACTCCTGGAAAGTGAGAATATGTGAAAGAAGTATTTTTAAACATACATTTGCCACAACTATTTTTGAGACATTCAGGAGTATGCTTAAGACATTATGGCTGGATGTTAAATAAGGAATGGGTGAGCTGATCTTTAAGGAATGTTAAATTCAATGCAATGGAACAGAACAGATGTGTTTCTCCAGTATATTGCTCCAGATGATCTAAGAAGCCGTGTTTTTTAAGTGAATAGTAGAAGGAAGCCCTATTTAACATCTCCCATTATATCTGCTATCCAGTGCCTTGCATTATTTTAAGAAATCCATTTCATAAAAGAAAGGAAAAGGGGACTTATACTCCATCACAAACCCACTAATTCCTCATAAAATGCAATCAATTGTGCAAAAATGGAGTGGTTATTCAATAAGCCTCATTATTCCTGAAGGCTATGTTTACATTATGGTTTCATTCTAATTCCAAATGAATAAAAAATTATTACAAGTACCTTTACTTATGACTTACAAATGAAGATTCCCAGGATTATTTTTCTTTTGACCAGAAAATTGTCCTGTGTGGAAAATGATTTAAGTCTTATACAAGTTACTCAGACTTACTTCTGAATAAATTTGTATAAGATGCTGCTGTGACATGTTAACAGAATCTAGAAAGCCAATTTCCAACAGTCATGCTGTAGTGCCTTCCCCAGTCTAGTGCCTTGCACGTGGGTCAGACTATGTCTTTCATCACAAGGGGGTTGTCCAGAATCTTTGGGCCCAACTAGTATTTTATTCCTTCATTTGACATCAGGCTCACTAACATGGTGCAAAATGAGAACTCTAAGCTACTGTTCTGATACTACTTCTCTCTCTTGTTTTATTCTTTTTTATTTCCCATCTTATTTCTATTATTTTTCCTCAGCGGTCTGGTTTCTGTGTACAGTTAAATTTCATATGTTCCAATGACTGTATAATTCTTGTCCTCATGCAAAGTTTATCCTACTCACTTCTGATCTCAAGTAGGGGGAAAGGAAAGAGATTTGCAAGAAATAAATGAATATTGGCTTGTTTAGCAGGCTATTTTCACTGCATGTTTACACAAGTGCACAGTTATGAAAAATGCAGTGAAAAATAGCTGTGGGAAGTCTCACTTTTGCCACAGCAGCACTACGTTGCAGCTTGTGGCATAAGTGTTCACTATAAATCCAAACAGACATGACTATTGAAACTTTAGTCTTACCATTGAAACTTTGCCTAGTTCATTCATAATTGCAGTAGTATGCTGGATACAATACTTTATTGACCAAACATCCATTAAGCAATTATTTGAAATTGTAAAACAGAAGTTTGGAAAAAGTGGGTACAGTGATGCCTCCAAAATGAAGGATGTAGTTCCTGTCTTTCAGGGCTTAGGACAAGGATGAATGTTTTAGTGTTTTTAAGAACCCAAACTCTTGCCAGGACTACATAGGCAATACCTATTTAGAACTCATTTGAGTTCTATGGGATAAAATAAACAGAATGTAATACTGAAATATCAATAGAAGAGAATAGGTATAGCTCAGGGTTGAACTGTGGAGTCCTTGGGGTTCTCTGAGCTTGGTTGTTTCCTAGCAAATGTTACGTTACCTGGCTAGGTAACATCTTCAGTGTTAGAATGGG